CTTAAAGGTAAACTCCAAAAAAATAAATAAGACAATTTATTTCTTAATTGAGGCAGTACGAAGTCTGCCGGGTCAGCTAGTTTTTAATATAATATTTGAGTATAACATTGCATTTTAGTCACCATTACATATTACTAAACTATTAATTACAATAATTAATATGACTTTGACTCCATGTATTCATATATTCACCTTTTTTATAACATTAAAAAAATTATAAATAAAAGAGTATTTTATATCATGTAATATTTAATAGGAGTCTTTATTATTATAGTCATTAAATTAAAAGAAAACTATAATAAAAATATGGTGAAGGAAAACATCGTGAGGAAACCTGGACTTATAATTTCACAACTATAAGTTTGAAATCACCAACCCGTCTTGAGCGAGTGTGGTGATTAATGCTCAAACCTTCTCCATGTGAGAAGAGAGATGATGATATAATAAAAGTCATCTATGTCACTCCTTATAACATTAGCTACCTGCCAGTAAAAGTTCTTTCAAAATCGGTCCAGACATATCAGAAATAAGTTGTAACAAACAAGAAAATTATTATATATACATATATAAATATTACATTATTAAAACATTATAACTGTACACTTATATTTATTAGTACATATATATGTATTAAAAAAATGTATTAATTTGTATAAAAACAATCTATTTTATCATTATTACGATTTCAAAGAAAAAATATATCTTTTTATATTTACAATCTTAATGAGTATATCATTGGGTAATCAAGTACTATTTAAATAGGTTTAACAAAAGAGTATTTACCTATTACAAATAAAATTAATATATATGTATATAACCATTTTAATATGTACGATCAATAAAAATAAATCCTTTTGCTTAAAACATGTTTTATTACAAAAATTATAATTTGGTCATTCATTTATCATATTCATGACAGAATACAATTTTGTTTTCACTAATTCATTGTTATTAATTAATTTACTAATTACGTAATTATGAATTATCTTTTTTTATTATTTAAAAATTAGTTTTTTATCATTTTTATTACAAAATACATGTTTAATGATGTTTGTTAATCATTTAGTCTTCTAATGATTCAATAAATATAATTACTGTAGGTCTTACGTAAAAAATACTAACTTAACTAAATGTAAAATACATTTTATTTCCATAATTATATGAAAAACTTCAATCTTTTTGTTTATATGGATGTACAAACACGTTTTGAACACATCGCACCAATTTCAACGCTTGATTACTTAAAAACTTTAAAACCACTTAATACAGTCGTGAAGTTTGTTCAAAATGTTATTATAGCTATATTTACCGTATAAAATAAGTTTATTATGCAAACTTATAACTCACTTTCATTTTACAACCGGTTTTATCAGAACTCGCTACAGTCAAGGCCGTTTGGACAATTCCTTCGGCTGTGACTTATGTCATATAAATGTCACCAGCACATCATTTGACATTACAGTTTGCCCGCGTTTTTTATGAAGTAAATTTTATAGGAAAAGCCATTTAGTAAGAGAGACTCTATCTCTTTCTCTCTCTAAGGGAGAGAGAGAGAAAGATATACAAGTAAATTTTTAATGAAATAAAAACTAATATTTTCGTATACTACGTGTTTATTATTATTTTTAACTAAATACTCTCTACATATCGGTTATTTTTCAGCAATCGTGACCACGGACAGACGAAAATTTTTATAATGACATTAGTGTGCAAGCTTTGGTATATAAATGTTTTTTTTAAACCACCCCATGGCTGTATAAAGTCAAATTTAGCCATATATGTCAAACGAAAGAAAAAAACTGGAAAAATGAAATCAATAATTATTATAAGTATTTTAAACGCTTCATGTGTATTAAATTCATAAAATTTCTGAAAGTCACTATAGTCTTTGTGCTATTGCTTTCAACAAAGAGAACACGAGTCATTTCCAAAAAGTTTTATAGATCAGCGAGAATTGTTATTTTAAATTCTTATTCAAATAATAATTTATATATACTTAAGATAGAAAAAATATATTATCCTTATTAATATTATAAATGCGAAAGTAACTCTGTCTGTCTGTCTGTTACGCTTACACATCACCACTCAACTGATTTTAATGAAATTTGGTACAGAGATGGAGTTGATCTTGAGAAAGAATATAGGATAGTTTTTATCCCAGATTTTTGAAAGGTTCTCTTGGAAACACGATATAACCGAACTCCACGCGGGCGAAGCGGGGCGGAAAGCTAGTATTAATACATATTATATCTTTTGATTCTTCTTATAATAAAAAAAAATATTCAAAGAAATTAGCTTCAGTCTCGTATCAACAAAAGTATAGAGATTTTTTTTAAATACGTGTGATTTAAAATATATTATTTATTATATGTGGTTATATATTATAGACGTAACTAAAGTATTGAAAATATTTCACGCTACTTAAACAAAAGCGTGGAAAAGCGAATTGAAATTAATGTATCTAATTAAACCTTCCATTTTATTTTAATATAGAATAAAATCACTAAATTGATGACATCTAAAACTATCGCGATTATTCATTTAAATGAAACTAATATTTCCGGATCTTTTTTCTCATTCACATCTCGTCTTATTGATCACGGTTGTAAAGTAACCGAAAATTTGTCGTATGTAGTTAAAATAAACGCGTAGTATACGATAATATTAGTTTTATTTTAATAATGATATTATTTCACAATTAATATTTTAATGGTATATATAAATAAAGTTATAAATGTTAGCTGAACTTTTCAATAGCTTTCAACTTTCAAATATTATTTAGTATTTAAAAATATCAAACTATTTCTTCATATTGTATTCAACAATGATTTTACAATTTAAATGTCAAAAGTGAAAGGACAATGACGAAGAATTGAACCAAACAACTTATACAGGGTGACTGGTGAATTACTATCGATACTTGAGGACGTGATATTTGACGATCATATATGACTAAATAAAAATTAATATAACATAAATATTAATAAACTTCTAAGTAAAGTTAACCAAAAGTTATGTAATTAATTACGCATCGTGTGAACACCCTACAGATTAGGTATACACACACACACACACATACGCGTGCGGCGGCGTAGTGTTGTATCAGCACGCCGCCGCACGCGTCCACACTTGGAACACTTGGAACGTATCAACATTTTATTTATTTATACGGAAATTTTGTCAAAAATTAAGTGCCTATTTTTTTAACATAATTCGAATGAGAATCATGTACCGAGTATTCTCTTTGAATATTGATAGTAATTCACCAGTCACCCTGTATATGAAAAATGATTGCTTAGTCACATATAAATAATTATTATATTAATAACATTATTTTAATATTTACAACACTATAAAATTTACTTATTTTGATTTTAAACATGTTTATATACATGTACTTCCTGAACGACATTTAAAAGTCAGAAATGAGATAAAAATATTTTCCTAAGTTTTTGTAATACTTGATTATTAATCTATAATCAAAATTAAAATGAAATTAGTTAATATCGGCCGAAAAATATCAATAAAGATTATATGTATATATATATTTAAGCTATACTTATAATAATTCGATCCCCGCCGCCATTATTATCAAAGATTATCAAGATTAATTGATTACATACATTGGTAAAGTGACATTATTTGTCACACACACAATAACTTTAAGAAAAATATGTTTACTTTTTTTTTCTTCTTCTTCCTGGCAATTTCCCAGCTTTTGCCAGGGTCTGCCGTCCTGCTTAAACTCCTTCACTTTGCACGGTCTTAATATGTTTAAGCAAAAATATGTTTTATTTAATTAAAACTAATTCCTACTAATATTATAAATGCGAAAGTAACTCTGTCTGTCTGTTACGCTTTCACGTCCAAACCACTGAACTGATTTTAATGAAATTCGGTACAGACATAAAGTTGACCTTGAGAAAGAACATAGGATAGTTTTTATCCGAGACTTTTGAAAGGTTCTGTTGGAAACGCGATATAACCGAACTCCACGCGGGCGAAGCTGCGGGCGGAAAACTAATTTACAATACCTGTTTAATAATATTTTTCATTTTTTTCTATGATAACATAATCTATTTGTAATAATGTTTTGTAACGTTGCGGTAAAGTTAAGAAACTAGTTTGACTGCGTTCTGTTGTAACTTGAAGCCGTTCACCGAAATTAAATAGATATATTTTGAAGGTCTTATTGTAAAAATATAATAATTATATTATCTTGTAATTGAAAATCATTGGTTTTTATAGTCTCTATTGTTTAATTCATTCTGCCATAAAATGTTTAGTTGAATTTAAATGGATTTAAAATAATGTATGTATATATAATGTGTAGAATTTTAATAAAACTAAGCTAACAAGTTTAATTTAAATCTTAAATATATTAATGGTATTCGAAGGAACCTTGGTGATATTGGAATATTTTTTAAATGTCACTGCGACATTTGAACCCGAGGTCACATAATTTTATTTAATTTTTATATAATTTGTATGCATTCATTACAAAATAGTTTATTTTAACATCAAAAACAAATAACAATTAAAAATTCATTGCTGATAACACTTATGAAGGACGTATAGCGATTAGCATTGCTATGGTATGTTTAAAAAAAAAATTCCCGCCGTAATAATTGTCATTACTTTTTATTTATTACTATTTATTTTTGAGGGATTTAATGCAGTTGGGATTAAATAAAATGCTTTTATTTGTTTAAATGTGTATTCTGGTAAGCTTATCTTGATATTTTTAAATGATAAACTCATTACAATCATAATTATTACTCAGATAACCGTATCAAAGTACTGTCAAGGTTAAAAGAGCGGGAAATCAAAGCTATTTTATATTACCTAATAATCACTTATATTATGTTTTATTGCCAAAAAAATTAGGTACAATTGATTATTTCATTATTTTTATCAATAATACTATATTAATATCATATTTATAATACGTAAATAATTTCAATAGTAATTTCACATAGTAAAAAGTCTATAAGTTCGAACTAGTGGTTGCCATTGACGCCGTTGCTAGAAGATTCCGTCATACTCTTTAAATGGAATGGAGATATAACAAATACTTCGTTTTCTACAAGATCTTTAAGATCTTCGCCTCCATAGGAGAGTAATGGTGAAATTTCTACGTCTACATTATCATCTATTATACCACCGGCTTCTCTGATATATTTTCTATGCAGTCTTAATAAGTCTTCCCGCGCGGTTGAGGGGCAATCTTTTTTAGCTGAATCCGCGTTCTTCAATGCGGAAAACTCAACATCTCTCGCTACTTCTAGACATATGAAGTTTTCAGCGAATTCAAACACGTCGAAAATGAATTTCTCCAATTTGATTCCGTTAGGTTCTGAAGGCTTCACGCGGACGCCATTCTCGTCGATGTACGGAATCTTCTTGTTTGATATGTGATGTTTCAGTTTTGATTCATAATTGCATATTTTCTGTAGGAACTGAGCCGAGAAGTAGTGGTTGCATATGCTGCCCGCTGAGAATGTGAGTTTGCCGTCAGGATTCCTTCTATTAGCTGCTTCCTCTGTGAGCTCGGAGTATTCCACTACTTTGTAGTAACCATTTACTCTACAAACAACACCCACTGCCTCGCTCGGTGACGATTTACTAACAACTTTAGCCGCACAATCAGCGTTTTTACTCTTGCAGTAACCAATGAATACCGGATCAGCGACTTTAATGAGCAGATTGTCGACGGAATGAGCATGTAAATGCTCTACTCCCCGTCTGGCGATGTCATCCAATATTCCCTGAGTTTTTAAAGCCCTATAGATGCCTCCATTTCCATCAGGCGCGGTTGATAAATGATATTTCTCATCCAGAAATATCTTGCCGTTGAAATCGAAGCAGGGTAATCTGCCTTGGTTGAAGAAGATAATGTTGTCTTCATCGAGACCGAAGTAGTTGTGTTGTTTAAAGAAGTCTGCTGTCGGTCCCATAGTGTGTTCCGAAGTCATTATGTACCAGGTTACTTTACCAGATTTGCCGGTTCTCTGTTCGGCCATTTGCTGAACTTTCAAGATTCTTTCCGCCTGAATTTGAAATAAGGTCTTTCGTGATGGCAGGCCGACATCGTACATGCCTTTTGGGTATCCGAAGCCCAATCTAGTCGCCTGTCCACCAGCTAGTAACAAAACACCCACTTTATCATCACTGATCTCTTGGAAACCTATATTCTCGTATTCCAGAACCTTCTCCTGTGACAATCCCGGTACGGATTCGTAATGCGCCTGCGGTATCGGCTTCAGATCATCGTCGAACTTTTCCAGAATAACTTTAGTAGATTCCGTCGCGCGCCGAAATATTTCGTTCACTTCTTCCAAATCGAGGTTTTGTATTTCGCTAGCGAGCTGTTCCCGCTCATTTTCGTTAAGTTCCGGCCAGTATTTGACTAGATGCTCCTGGCCGTGGCGGGTTAGCTGTTCTAATAGCTTTTCGTACGACATCCTCGGTCAACGGTCCGCGGTATAATACTTATCGGCAGCGGCAGCGGAGATTAGAAAGTACATACTACTTGAGTGGCTCGCCGAGTTGTACATTTTCACCATTCTCCCACCACGGAACACCTTAATACTGTTTATTTACATTTGCATAACCACGTAATACTGATTCAACTACTCTATATGTCAGAACCAACGAGATTTTTATATATAATACATTGAAAGTTATTTATTGAACTTAATGTATCAGTATTTGTGAATGGAGCAATGTATTACTTTGTAACGTCAATGTTAGTACAACTTGACGGCTAGGTTTTATTGTTCAGAAAAATATAATACTTAAAAAATGTTTAAATAAATTTTTATAAATAAGATTTGAGTTTCTATTTTTATTTCTTAGCTTTTAGTATAAATGTATATAAACATGTAGTGTTGGATATTATTAATACCGATACAAAATAACTTTAGGACGTAACCTATAATAAATCATTGCTTTTCAAATAAAATATTAAAAAAGCTTAGTTTTTTATTAAAACCTTGTTGTCAATCGCCAAATTATTTGTGAAATATCAGTCAAAATATATAATATAATAAATATAGTTCTTGATATTATTTTCTTTACTTCTATTCTACACTATTTCTTTCTACTCTACAATATCTATGACAACGGTTCTTGACTAATGTCTCGTCTCATACGAGATGTGAGTTATTTTCTATTAATTATTGTTGATAGTTTGCTAGCTGTGATCTTCTACGCTCTAAAAACATTTGTAAACATCGTTAAAACTGTATCGAATATAATTATCAATGTAAATATGACAAAATCTTCAAAGAAACGAAAGATAGTACATAATCCCGATAGTAACCCCATTTCATTCAAACGGGGTGCGATTGATGAGAATTGGCAGAAACTATTATCTAGCACGTTATTTATGGAACAGAAAAATGAAAAAACTGAATCGAAAGATAAAAAACACTACACGGGCTCCTTCCGGAGATCTAGGAAAGAGAAAAACAAAACCGAAACAGAGGCAGTTGAAAATAATTTAGGTACATTAAATATATCAGAGCAAACATCGGAAAAACAGAAAGAGTTAGATAAAAATAAAAATAATAATGAAAACAGGAATAAATTAACGAAATTTTTGGCAATGGATTGCGAAATGGTTGGAGTTGGTTACGAAGGCAATGACCACATGATAGCAAGGGTATCAATAGTCAATAAGTTCGGGGACTGCATATACGATAAGTTCGTAAAAGCAAGAGAGGAAGTAGTGGATTATAGAACGAAAGTCAGCGGCATTAGAAAAGAGGATCTGTTAAACGGAGAAGAGTTTACCGTAGTACAGAAAGAAGTCTCCGAGCTTATAAAGGGAAAGATACTTGTAGGACACTCGTTAAAAAACGATTTAAGTGTGCTATATCTGTCTCATCCGAAACGAAATATAAGAGATACATCGAGATATAAACCTTTCCGGAAGGTAATGATCATTTTTTTCTTATAATTATAGTTATTTACTAAGTTATTTAGTTTCTGAGTTAAATGATCAGAAATTCATTATTTTTGTCTTATAATGTCCTTAGTAGTTAATATATTTTATTAGTATTTAAATATGAAATCAAGTAAAATAATCTTTGGCAAGCTTAATTTTATACATTTATGTTAGTTTAAGAGTAAATTTTTCATTAATTAAAAAAAATTCAGTAGAAAAGGTTCTTTTAAATAATACACAGTAATCTGACGAATATTTATAAAGTAATAGCTTAAAATTTATTCATTAAACTTTATATGTATATTTATATTTTGGTAATATTTCACCTTTATGAAAATCCGATATCAAAGTACTCTTTATAGTGTATATTAGTTTGGGAATGTACTACCATATATGTTTATACTATATATATATTTTCTTCTACCTGGCAATTTACCAGCTTAAGTCACGGTCTACCTTAATTATTATGAATAGTTTTGGTTTATTGTTTGTATGACCGGCCGCCTGCCTGACGTCAACCCTCTTTGGGAATGCACTTGAATTGTAACTGAATATAATACAGTAAATATTATCATCCCACAGATAACAAAAGGCAGTACACCGTCATTAAAACGCCTGGCTAAAGAAATACTCGGCATTGACATTCAGGACGGAGAACATAGTTCGGTAGAAGATGCTCGGGCAGCCATGCAGATATACTGTACGGTACAGAAGACGTGGGAACAAGCACTCAGTGAGAAGAGAGGGTACAGTAAGAAGTTTGTGGAGGCATAATAAATGTTTTGATATATGTTTACTCGTTTGATTTTGAGGAGAAATTATTAACAGCGCCATCTGTGTGTCATGGTTTCAGACTTATAGATATGAATGTTTTATTTGTAACTAAATGATGTATAGCGCCATCTGTGTTTGATAGTGGTAGGCTTATGCTGAATAAAATGTTTGGAGTCCAAAATTATGTAAAGCGTTAGACTTTTATTTTTTAGAAGGTTTTTTTGTTAATAAAATTGTGTACAACGCTATATGTCTCATAGTTATGTCATTATGATGTATTACATATATAATTGTAACGTTTACTCACTTCACTAGTTTTACGAGAAACAAATATTATCCAACCTTAAAAGTTTTTATATCTATAATTTTATAAAGCAAACAAAGTTCATAGATGCAACCAGAATGTAATTTCAAATTAAAACCTTAAGAAATTAGTCTATATTTTTTTAAATTTAAAACACAATAAAATAGAGAATATACGTAAGCGTCGTTGGTTTTATACTACTTATCACTAGATGTCGCTACTAGTGTAATAAAAGGTAAAACAAAACAATGAAATGATTTAAAATGGTTGATTGGGTTCAGGTCGAGCTGAGAGCTATTGAAACTAGTATCAGAGTAATATCGATTGACTTCTAAAGTTAAATTCCGTCCAATTTACAGTGAAATAACAAAATAAGTACCATCTAAAGCTTATAAGAGAAAAAAATGATTTATTTGTGGTGAAAAAATATGTTTTTAATGAAATTTATAACTAATTTATATGAGAAAGATTGCAATTAATTGTTCGTTAAAAATATTCTTTGTTATTAGGCTGGATGCTAATGATATCCCAATATATTAAATACTAGCTTTCCGCCCGCGTGGAGTTCGGTTATATCGCGTTTCCAAGAGAACCTTTCAAAAGTCTGGGATAATAATTATCCTATGTTATTTCTCAAGGTCAACTCTATCTCTGTACCAAATTTCATTAAAATCAGTTCAGTGCTTTAGGCGTGAAAGCGTAACAGACAGACAGACAGAGTTACTTTCGCATTTATAATATCAGTAGAGATTATTATAATACTTAGTCTTGCAATGAGCTATTCATTAAGTACATATTTGTATTTTTGCTCCTTGTAATATTGTAAGTACCAGGTAATTGAAGATTCTAGGTACAAATAAATTTATGTTAGTACAGAAAAATATACATACGAAATCGACGTGGTAATGAGATGTATTTTGAAAGAGTACAGTCATTGAGAACTTGACTAATTGATAAATAAAATTCATAATGCTTGGAGTAACTCCGCGATGATGAAGTGAAAGTTTGTAATATTGAAATAAAACAAAGGTTTAGAAATTTATTTTTAAGGAATATTTGAGTTTTTCTTTAAGACAAACTTTATTAAAATTACTTACAAGTCACTATTGATTGCATGCGTTCGAGCGACACGCATTACCTCTTGTTTTTTTACCCCCTCCCCAAAGAGCGTTAAACCTTTAACGCAACCTTCTTTAAAGTCGCATAAGAAGTTACACTTCAAAAAATACAAATAAAATTTAATGCGGAGTATCAGCTTCATAGAATATTGAGTATTATTTTAAATAAACGAACTTAATTCCTAATTACAAAAATATTGAGATTAAAAGCTCATAATATGATAAAATACATTTAAATTTCATGATTTCTAAGTAAATTTAGAAGAATTTTATAAAAAATTGCCTCATTCATCTGCCGGGGTAAACATACAGAGTTTTAAACCACATATTTACTTTCTGAGCCGACAGCAAGAGTTGTTTGCGATAACTCTCCACAATTTTATGAACACAAACAAGGTTACAGCGCCATAAATTACCTTGAAAATCGATAGGAATGGCTCATAAAATGAATTTTTATGTCATATTTCTCATATTTAAGTCGCAATTTGATAACACTAGCTCGACATTCAGCGTTTCTTGTTATTATAATTTTTTTATTTGAGATTTTTGATTAAAGCCCAGTTTCAAAAAACTCTGTTAAATCTAAACGTGGCATTTACTAATGAACTGTTAAATATAATTGTCTGTTAAAATATTTATGTTCCACGATCCAAAATTAACAACGCATTATTAAATGTCATGTTAAATGAACGGCCAAATTATTCGTTTTTGTTATAAGACGACCAAATTGAAACTATAGCGTTTAATACGACACGTTTGTTACGATGCACCATTTTATCTCTTGATCTCGTATATATTTTGATACGTCAGTTAGTTTATCTTGTAGAGCATACTTCGTACAGGAAAATAAATAAATAATGAGTTTCTCATGGAAAGCGACTAAAGACTTATATAATAATATAGTCTTTAGCTACCAAAACTAAAGTTCTTCTTACCAGTACTGACACAACTAAAGAAATATAAATATTATAATAAATATATGTTCAACAATCTGTAGCATGATTTTTCCAAGCCGGTCATTAATATTAGAAAAGCATTTTTAGTCTCCATCATTCGGGTATCCTTTTAAAACTGATGACTGGCAACTCTTTAAAATTAATTACACACAGACCCAAAAACATTAGGTACCTATGATATTTTAAGATAAAAAAATTAAACCTTTAGATTTTATTTTTGAAAATAATACGGAATACATATATCTATATTCGGTTTTGTTTGAAAAGTAATATAACCAATATTCTTAAAGACCATCCAATCAAAGTTTTTTCGTTGTAAATTTGTACGCGGTAGAGGTGGGAGCGAGAGGTATAACAGCTAAATCTCTCTACAACCTACTAAAAGACTTGGGCTTGTCCAGAACTCACATTAATTCATTCTTGGAACGTACTCCAAAGGCAGTCCTAGTAGCTTCATTTTAAATTGTGTAAGGTAGTCAGAGGAGCTTGGACAGTAGAGGTGAAAATAATATTATAAAATTAATATTTATATGTTTTTTTTTAATATATTCAATAACTCAAATACGTAGTAAAAGTGATATTAATAATAATAATTGCATGTAAATGTATCAATAATAAGTTAATATTTTCAGTTTTTAATCAACTCACCCACCCAGTGAGGCCGTACAGGCTTCTGAATTGAACTCACATCACTTCAGCGACCTCATATTTGCTTTTGACTTTAATGAACACTGTTTGCCCGACTGCTTCAAAAGAGTGTTATGTTTTCTGTTTCTTTATTTTCCATTTTCTGTTCAAACTGCTATTTAATTCGTACATTCGTTTCATAGTTTCGAGTGCCATTAATGGGATTATAATTTTATTTTAATGTTTGATATCTATTGAGAATTGGATATTTCCTCTTTTTATCAATTTCTTTTAATATATTTATTAAAATATAATTGTCTTAATATTTATTCTGTTTATGATACATCAGTAATCCAGTACTCTGAACAAATAAAAGCAGTATTTTACTAATCTATTTATTATAAGAACACTGCATTACCCTGTCTTTATCTCAGTACATTAATAGTTGATAGTCAACATATAAACATATAGTCAGTAATGTTCCAACTTATAACTTTTATAAACCTGTATGAGGAAGCACTTGCTCCTGAATCATGAATGACGAGTGTTACGTTCTGTTCTCACGACATGAACACTGATGGTCGTATTAAGAGAACTCTTTGTGTATTAAAGTTTAATTATTAATGATCCCTTTATATCTTCTAAGTATTCTTGTCTTATCATAGTTTTTATATTTCCTATTCTTCTCTTATATTTACTAAACGTTACTGAACTCTCTCTCGTCTCATAAAGTAATACTATCCAAAGTCAACTTCAATATAAAACAATTCAATGAACATCAACCAGTTTCAAGTCATCATTGAAGCAGCTTCACATCGTCTGATGGAGCTTCAAGTTTCTTTATCATCAGAACTCTTCCGCCCAGTCAGTCCAGGTCTAAGTCTCGTCAGTGTACAGAACTGATTCCTCTCAATGAAGTTACAGACTGATGGTTAATATTTAACTGTAACAAACGTTCGTTTTAACTTTAACTGTTTATTGAACGTTCTTACTGACAAGTTAACCGTTTGACTGTTTGTATTATGTATAAATATTATCTCAATTATTACGTACGATCTACATATTAAAAATAAATGAACATCGCCGGGGCGACATCCTGTATGTATAAAATATATAACGAGTGACGCCGCTGACTCCGCGGAACGAACACCAAGCCGTGTGAACCAGAAGATTCCTGATACACACAAGCTATGGAATGGTATTGCTATCCTAACATCGGGTCAATCATGTAGTCTTAGGTGTAGGTTATATGTTTTAATATGTAATTCTTATTATAATATACATATAAATATGTTTCGTAGTTTTCCTTCCACCTCTGGCTGCCACACTATACAAATAAATAGGAAAGTATAAATAAAAAGAATATATACATGATATTTTTTTCAAAACACAACAAATATATATTATTTTTTGTTACATTTAATATTATTCATCTCCTCGTGAAAGGAAAATGATTATTTTCGTTTGAAGTCTGTATTTTTTAATATATTTCTGTTTCATTCTAACGTTCCCAGTTATTTCTCTTACGTTATTATTCTAAGAGGACGTCTTAATCTGTCTAAATCCAGACTAATGAGATACATTTAGCTCCACGCCACATGACGTAGGGTCGACGAAGATTAATTAAGAACAACATTAACAAGTAATGTACGAGTACAGAGCTATCATGAGATGAAATGATTCATACCTACTACTCTCATACAACAGAATGGTCACTGTTTTATTTTATAAGGTTTCTATATTAGATAAGTTTATGAATTCTTTACAACCACGATACAATCATTGTATACTCCACATCGTAGTTACTGGTTGATGCAGCTTCATCCTTAAAGACTCGTGTATAATAAAACAAACATCTCTTAGTAACTGCAATGCATCTCATGTTAATGAGACTACATTATTACAACTGACTCCATAGTTATGATACAGTGTTATAAGGACGAGAGGTTACACTGATGTTGTACATGACCTGTTATACTTTACACACATTAAACA